GGCCATACAAACTCTAGAGCTTCTCATAGGAGTGAATGAAATCTCTGTTTCAACTACATCAAGGTTCATACTCTCATTGTTTCCTTTCCTTTATGGCAATTGTGACTAAGAGCACCGTCTGATACATCTCATGCAAATAAATGTCTCCGATTTGGTTTCCAGAGGACCTCAATCCAGCATAGTTTTTAATACATCAACTCCTTTCTTCCTATCTAACCTGTATCTTCCTATCTAACCTTCCTATCTAGCACAGATCATTGCTGTTCCTGACAACCAAACTTGCACTCTCTACTTCACGCTTCACCAGTTCTCACTGACAATCATTAAGAAATTGAAAATGGGTACAAGGACATCATGTCTTTGCAGAAAGAGTGCACATACCTCCAGCAGATGTTCCACTTGGAGCAGAGAGAAGGTAGGAGAGTCACTATGAAACCGTCCTCCCTAGTTCATTTTCTACAAATGAACATGTAAGAGGCTTCCAACTGTTAAATGCTTAAATCTAGTGGTATGAAGCCAAAATGGTGCAAGAAGTAATGCGTGCATCCCACCCACGTCTTTAAAAAACACTAAAAAGCTGGAATGGATGATAAATTCACAAATTTAAATGATAAAAAATTTAAAGAGGTTTACTTTAAATCACACTTGTGTCATTTGGAAGCAGAGTGAAAATCTACGATGGCATATTTGAATTCAGAGAATTTCTACAGAATCTGCTTTCATATTTCCTCTTCTGAATTACATTTTGCATTAGGTCCCCATAGAAATCCTGAAACTTATAGTTTTATTACAATTGTTTTTTATGACCTTTACTATTATATCTAACTGATTTATAAATAAGGAAACATTTTTAAACAAGTGCTATTGTGTTAAAATAATGTCAGTGTATTTAATTAAAATTGAAATGAAAGAAAACATCCACCCTCTAGAAATTCCTTCTAGAATTTTTCCTTAAATTCCAGGTCACCATGCATCACACAGTGGATGAAGTAGTAAAAAGAGAATATCAAGAACTGAAATATTTAAGCATAAGCAATTCAGAATTTGCAAGAAAATTCTTAGACAACCTTTAGAGTAAAATATATGGTTTGAATTAGTTGAGCATATTAGAAACGGTTGCCCATGTGAGGCATAAAATGAGGAAAGGAACAGTTGCCGATATGAATAAAGTGTGTATGTGTGTGTGTGTGTGTGTGTGTGTGTGTGTAGAAGGAGATACAAGGGGAGAAGTAGTATTGATAAAGATGACTTAACTAAAGGTGTTGGTTTGCATAGTTATAAGAAATAAGCATGACTCTGAAAAGAAATCATTCTGCTAGTTATGGAAAAGTCTTAGATGCCTAAGGGATTTAGTTTGATGACAGAGGTACTACAAGATAAAGGCATTTTGTGAAACAAATTAAAGCAGGAACACAAGCCCAGAGTAGAGCAATGGAAGGTACTGGACGTAAGTGGACACTGAAGTAGAAATTGAAGCCTTGAAGTCTGGGCAGAGGACAGACTGGGCATGATCTACAGATGCAAAAGAAAAGTCTAGGGAAAGAAGAGGCACAAGAGCAATAGAAAAACAGCTTTTTGTTTATGACTATTAAATTTGTGTGGTTGGGAGAAAATAAAAGTGGAGATACCTTGAAGGTAGCTTTGAATAGATAATTAGAGAAACAAAAAATTAGAGCACTGGTTGTTAATACGAGGTTTGTGGCCACAAATGTGATAGTTAAAGCATAAAAGTAGATGAGCAATTTGGGAGAAATATTCATTGAGGAGGATGCAGCTGTGAGCTTAGACTATTCTTTGGACAATAAACTCAGAAAAAAATNCTTGAAGGTAGCTTTGAATAGATAATTAGAGAAACAAAAAATTAGAGAACTGGTTGTTAATATGAGGTTTGTGGCCACAAACGTGATAGCTAAAGCATAAAAGTAGATGAGCAATTTGGGAGAAGTATTCATTGAGGAGGATGGAGCTGTGAGCTTAGACTATTCTTTGGACAGTAAACTCAGAAAAAAATGTCATATACACTACTCAACAGAAACTTGCTTACTCGTGAAAAATCTGTGCCATAGCAAACCTCCCCAAGTCTGCACTAAAGAAAATAAATGGTTTAAACGCTTTTACTACTTGCCTGCCATATGTTATTAATTGCACTGATTGAGTGAGTGACTACTTGTGCAACTGCTATAAAGTGAACTAAATTTCAGGAATAAAAAATATATGGCATTCATTGAGTCAAAACTAAAGTTGACTATTAAATGAAATATGTTGAAAAGCATTCATTTTAAAATGCACTTTAACTTCTGGGGTTGAAAGTATTTTTCATATTTACAGCAAAATTCATTCAACTATATTTATTTTACAAGAGAATAAAACCAGAGGGCTATAATTCAAAACTTGCAGAGGCTGGAAACTTTCTATTTGATAAATTTCTAGAATTTATTGATTAAAGATATCTGTCATAGATGTGATAATATTTTTATTTTATTTTTGTTCTTATTTAACACATAATTTTCACACCCTTTTAGGTGAAAAATTTAGAGGATTTACTAATTATTATAAAAATGTTATAAAAAGTATTTAATGACCTCCAACTATTAAAACTATAATCATGGCTAATTCAGGTTATGAAATAAATCTATTCACAGACTTAGCTTCGCAGGATAAATCATATACAAGATAAATAAAGAAAATAAGAACACATTTAACCAATTTCTTATTTCTGATAGAAATACACCAGTAACTTATCTTAATATTAATGAAAAAATGAGTATTTTTTTTTTTAAAAATGAGTATTTTTGTATCATTGTAGAAAGACTTTGAAAACACTTTCATAAGTGCACATGGAAATTCACTCTGACGCTACTTCAAATAGGCAAATAGGAAAATGGTGAAGAATCATTTACATAATGGACAAATGTAAATTCATTCTAGTTGTAGAGAGAAGCTCCCTGCTGTCTTGATTATATTATGCTTTCCTGTCACTACATAATCTCACACAAAACTGAAAAAAAACTTAACATTGTGCAGTTATAAGTCTGAAGCAAAGGAACACCAGTGCAACTTTTCATTGGTTTCTTCACCCTTAAAATCTCAGCTCATGAATTATCCTTGCTACAGATATTTGACACACAAAATCATTTTCTCGGAAGATATGGAATGGCATATATGAGAATCCAGCTTTAACTGCTAACTTTAAAGAATTTAGGGTAAAGGAAATTACATTTTATTGTGGTTGCTCATGATTGTTTGTTCAATGAGTTGTCACAGAATCCAATTTCCACATTACCCATTTTCTGTGTAACAAATTGATTCTTTTGTTTCATTTATGGGGAAGTGATATTTCTACAGTCTTCTTAAACTTATTACAAAATGTATTTCATAAATCACCAGTCTTATGGAGGATGAAACATCTGTTTACATAATAGTACTTGCTCAGTTTTAATCAGTTATAAGTACGTGACTTGGCAACCAGTTGACAGTATGAGAAATATATTTCTAGTGATATTTATTTCATGACACAATTGTGTCGCACATAAATAAAATGAAAAACAACCTTAAAAGGTAGGAAATAAATACAAAATAAACACAAATATAGCATTCATAACCCACAGAAGCTCAGTGTTCTAGAATTACTCTATCAATTAGTATAAATCAAAGGCTAAATTCCCTCTCCTCTCATTTCTGTAAATGGAGAGTATACTAGTGTAGGGGTGATTAGCTAAGTCTACCAACTCTGACTCTCTGCGACTTTCATTTGTAAGAAGTTTGATCTTTGGCAAGTTTCTTAAATTTTTGGTGAYTCAAATTCTTCACTGAAAACAGAGGGAACAAYAGTTTTRCCTCATAYATTATAGTGATADTTAAGTGATAATCCARGTAAAGCACTTCAACAATACCTGAGTCAGATAGYGTGCATTAATGTTGGCAGTCATTAYCATTGTTTATATTATTACAACTACCACTACTGTTGTTGGTTTTATTATTATAAATATACTTTAAAATTTTCCAAGGGAGTTCTATTCCAGCTCAATCTGAAATCACCAAAATTGAGGCTTATTTTTTGCAACTGCTGACATCCTACCACTAATGTGTCCTTTGCATTACTCTCCAAATTGTCAATAACAACTTTGATTGTATGCAGTAAACATAATATGGACATTAAGGAGGTGTTGGTGTGCACCCCACTGGCCTTCAAGGCCTGTAGTTGCCCAGCTTCAAGACAAAGAAAGAGCCCGGAGTCAGTGACAGAGACATCAATGGTTTAATGGATAACGGGATCTTATACTTCTGAAGCAACACCCCACCATGTGCAGCAGATGGTGGGCAGCACATGGTGCCAGTCTTTGCTCCTGGGGGGAAGAGGAGATTGCCAGTTATAGGGGGAATTGAAGTCAGGTTAGCTCATTGGTTACCAGGGAAACTAGCAGGGGGCATGCCCCTCACCTCCTCTTTGATAAAAACAATCTCTAGCTGGGGCCTGGGGACAGTATGTAGGAAGGTCAGTCATGTGAGTAGGGTGTAGCTAGACCCCAGGCACTGGTCTAGCTGGGGATGTACAGAGAGCAAGAGAACAGCAACTTCCAGTGACCTGACCACATAGGAGAGAACTCATAACCAAACATAAAACAGCAAATGACTTAACCGTGGAATCTTTGGCATCCTTATCTTCCTCAGTTTATCCATAGAACCTAATCATCCCCTTGTAGTTCATCACAGCCTTTTGCGTTCAAATCTTTTTCTTTTCTTATTCCAAGTTACCACACATTCTAAGCTTATCATAAACTGAAGAAAATGTAAAAATCCCTTTAGAAGAAAGCTAATTTAATATTTATTATTTCAATTCAGACTTGCAGGAGATAAAGTGGAGTGCGAGAAGATGGTCACGTCCCAGGTCTCAGGGGAGTCCCTGGAACAGCTGCCATGTGTAGAATCTTGGCTTCGCACAGGAAAGAGTTCAAGAGAGAGCTATAGTAAAGTGAAAGAAGGTTTATTCAGGGAGATACATAATCCACAGACAGAGTGTGGGCCATCTCTGAAGGTAAGAGGCCCCAGGGTACAGGGTTGTCAGTTTCTATAGGGGTGAGTAATTTGATAGACTAATGAGTGGGAGGATTATTCCAACTATTTGGGGGAAGGGATAGGGATTTCCAGGAATTGGGCCACCGCCCACTTTTTGGTCTTTTATAGTTAGCCTCGTAACTGTCATGGTGCTGGTGGGTGTGTCATTTAGCATGCTAATGTATTACAATAAGCATATAATGAAGCCCAAGGTCCACTGGGAGTCAAATCTTCCGCCATCTTGGACCAGGTTGGCTCTAAACAGTTTTTGTCATGTCCTATGGCTATATCATTCTTTTAAAGATGGTGCCCTGCCCCCTTCCCTCCTTATTCAAGACCATTTGTCGTTTATTGATTTACTTAAACAAAACAAATAAACCAATTTTTTTTTTCTGCACAGGGTCTGGTGCTGTCAGGCAGCAGGCTTTGTTGGGAAAGAACACAGCTCAGGAGCAGGGTATCTGGGAGGCAGAGCCTGCCTTGATTACAGCGGCTCCGAATTCTTTTTTTTTTTTTTTTTTTTCTGTACGCGGGTCTCTCACTGTTGTGGCCTCTCCCGTTGCGGAGCACAGGCTCCGGACGCGCAGGCTCAGCGGCCATGGCTCACGGGCCCAGGCGCTCCGCAGCATGTGGGATCTTCCCGGACCAGGGCACGAACCCGCGTCCCCTGCATCGGCAGGCGGACCCTCAACCACTGCGCCACCAGGGAAGCCCCCAATTCTTTAATCTTTGCTTCTTTTCTTTGAGGTGTTTGTCTTGCTCCCAAAATCATTTTTACTTCACCAGTAAATTCTGTAAGTTGCTTAACACTTATATGCATTTGAATATAAAAATTAGTTTCCTTTAACCAAAAAAAAAATTAAAGTATTATTTGCAAAAGTCAGCCTCCATCCTGTATAGAACTTTGTAAATTTGAAGTTTTGTATCCATGTACTTTCTTAGCAGCAATTGATTTCCTTGAGATAAACCCAGTTCATCATGGGCGTCTCAGGCTTTATGATAACTGGCTGCCCTGTGTTAAATAAAGCACTTCATCTTTGCTAAGGCAAGGTATCAAAAAGAAGTGATGTCTCAGAAGGAAAGTTATATATAGGAACTGTTTTAGCTTTCTCCAAAATTCCAAAACTCCATTCTGTGAATCATTTATAC